TATAACCAGAATGCTGTGCTTTTAAACCATCACAAAGAGTTTTTGCATATTTTTTAATGTAATAGCTCAAACAGTCAAGACTGCTATTGATCATGTCTTCTGACTTTAGCCGTTTTTGACATGAACATTATATATCTAAATATTGAGCAACACATTTAAATAGGCAAATCATTTACTTATTAATATTTTGTAAATACTTTTAACATTGACCTTATTTGTCCCAGATAATTCTGGAAAACATTTATCTTCAACACTTTTTTAAGCAAAGTTTTTTATGGTGACTCTGAAGGGTGTTCAGGATAGTTCAGGATAAACACAAACAGCAACATCTCAGTCTAAATAATTATTTTGGTTGAAAACGATAACTGCTTTCGAGATGAGACTGCCCAGTATTTTTAATTTTATTTATTTTTTTTTTATTCAGTAGTTTTTGTATACTCCAAAAGTTTTAATAGTATTTTACTCTCTATCACAAACTGGCAATATTGAGTTTAATAATAGAGAACACAAAAACTTAATATTACTATGTCATATGTAGTGTTATAAAGGTTTTTGGTCATGGATTTCCTTCAGGGCTTGAGAACGGGGACATTTTCTGAAATAAATGGTAAAGGTTTTAAGTTTCAAAAGCTTTACCATAAAGTTATGAAGATGCAATGTTGATTTGTGTAGATTCAACATTCTTAAAGCTTGTGCCTTGTTTTTAAAGTTGGTTTAAATTTTCATAGAACTCTCAAATACTTTGTTTTTGATCTTCTTGGGACTAAGATGGTAAACACAAGGATTTAATATAAAGAGTCCAGGAAATGATCCAAGCATCAACCTGTGTCTTTCCCTCAGTGTGAAAACTACACAACAACATAGAGTTCTACTATTTATGAGAAATAAAGATAGCAAATTGAAAAAAAGTTTTTTGGGCAGTAGCCACAAAGTCACTAAATATGTAAACAAATGAAAATGTAAAAATTGGACTTGAACTTTGAAGTCAAAGCACTCTGATAAACGAGAATGGGATAAGAAATAAAATATGGTCAGGAAAATTCAGTAATAAAGTATTAGACAACCTCAGTGTCAACTGTTGCTGATGAGTGTGATGCAAAAAGAAAGAGAGAAGAAGAAAAAGCTAAATTATTTCAACATCTGCATTCCTAATGTATTTAAATCTAATGTTCATTGTTCATTTACTTCATCTGACCATTTTAAATAATTTATTCCTGATCTCCTTGGTTCTCAAACAATATATGAAAGGATTTATTAGAGCGGGCCCAAGAACTGAGCCAACCATCAGCCCATTTCGTTCCTCCATTGTTAAAACTACACCAATCCTGGTCAGCACTATTCATATGAATGTGGGGGCATAGAAGCAGATTATGACTATCAAGTGACTAAAGCAGGTATTAAATGCTTTTTTCTTGTCATTCTTTGAAGTCATTCTCGCAACAACAATAACAATCTTTATATAGGACAGGCAGATGAAACTAAGTGTTCTAAAACAAAGAACAGTTGTTAAAATTGATACCATATTAAAATATGGTTCGGGATCTACACAAGTTGCCCTGATAACAGATACATAGTCACAAAACATGTACTTCACATCTGAGTAACATATTTGTAGAGGGACAACAGTAGCAGGAAGCATAGCTGCAATTGCAAAAGCAGCCACCCAGAGTACAATAGAGATCAGGACACAAAGTACATTTGTCAGAATAGAATGGTACCGTAAAGGATTGCTTAGAGCAATAAAACGGTCAAATGCCATGACCGAAATAGCAAACATTTCCATTCCTCCACTTAAATGGAATACAAACATTTGAACAATGCAGGGTGCATAAGACATGGATTTATATTTAACTACAAGGACACCTATCATGGTTGGGCATGCACTGGTACAGAAGACTATGTCTACAAGTGCTAAATTACAGATAAACAGATACATTGGCTGGTGCAAACGTTTATCCATAACAATGAAGCATATATTTGCAGTGTTAGTAATCATAACAAGAATGTACAGTATCAGCATTACAACACCAACAACCAGTGGACTTTGCACTGTGTCAAATCCTTTGAAGACAAATTCAGTGATGGCTTGTCTGGAAATGTTTTGAAACGACATGGTGTGTTATTCTCAATGTAGCAATTTAGTCCTCTAACCCTAAGATCCATATCTATATTTTCTTCAAAGCATTGCAATGTGATGTACAGTAAAAAAAGCAAATATTTAACAAGTATCCATAAAGCGTTAGAAATCCTCATCACTGCAGATTTGTTTCTGCAATTATAAATTCACAGTTGGATTTTCTGATGATGGCATCAACACCTGTGGTAGATCTCAGTGTAAAACACAGGTAAAAACTGTTGAATAGAGGGTTTCAGCCTCCATTTATATAGAAAACCATACTAAGTATGAAGAGGCTCACTGGTGAATCAGAAAACGTAACAAAACAGTCTGTTCTGTATTATCTACATGTCAATACATCTTACTGTAATGTACAATGAATCGGAATGATCACACATATACCCATAAAGTGTTTGAACTCCTTGAAGCATCGCTGCAGAGCTGCTCTGTTTTGAAATGTATAATTGTATTGATCAGTGTTAGGCATCAACAAATGAGGTAGACTTCATGTTTAATGTAAATCTCTATCAAATAAAAAAAGTCATCTGGAAAAAGATGTTGGGCTTCTATTTATATTGGTTAGAGGGCAGGTACAAATGAGCTCATGAGTAAATGACATGACACCTTTTCCCTGCCTCTCTTTTGTACATGTGTGAGTTTTTTTTCATGATCCAGGGAGGATTGTAAAATTAAACAAACAAAATGAATATTTAAACCCACTGAAGATAAGCCTGCATGACAAACATACTAAAATACTGCTCCAAATCCAAGTCCTTATTGGCACCTATTTTTAAATGTCTTATTCTTAGTCCTAAAATGAATGTAGTATTAGCCAGATCTTATTAATAATGGCTATAATTAAACTAATTAAAATCACCACCAATTTTAGTTTGATCTTATTTACACATACATTTATACACTGCTGTTTAAAATAATTGAGATAACCAGAATAATTTGTTCTAAAAATCTTCATAAAAGTCTTCAATTGTTTTTTTGTTTTTTTTGTTTTTTTTTGTATACACAGTAAAACAATAGTACAATATAGATTTTAGGAACCTATTAATGAATACATAATATATTGTAAGTGTCTTTATATAAAAACATTGATTTTCATCAAACTTCCTACCTTGAGTTCCGTTCACTGCTTTGAAACTGCATTTCGCAGCAATTGTAGACATTTACTTGAGTGATATAGGTGTTGCAAATTCTTCATTTAAAACTGTGTTTTATGCTCCATGTTCTGTGTTATATTTTATTTTGTATGCGGATCTGAAACAAAATATTTAACAAATATGCAAAAAAAAACAAAGACATAAAGGAGTAGAGGATGAGGCAAATACTTTTAACTTCATTTTAAAGTGCCATGAAAAAGTTCAAATAAAAGAATAATGGACAAGGGAAAGATGTATTTCAGACTGGGCCTATTTTACACTGGACCTTTTTCCTTATGAATTATTTTAAACCTGTAAAATTGTAATTAATGTCTACATCCATACCATACTTTGCTTTGTTTTTATGGAGTATTCTTGTCTGACTGACTCACTGAATCCACTTTACTGAAAGACTCCCCATTAATATTGAAATGAAAGTTTCAAAGGACATCACATCCCATTCAGGATACAGCAGCAATATCAATAATCCCATTTGATTACTGTGGATAGAAGAATTGTACAAAACTATTTGGATTGGTATTTCAACATTGAACACAGAAATAAATTACCTGTTTCCTTAAATAGAGTCTGTTTTCTCTAATCACATAGAAATTGAAGGATAAAGAAGTATTTAGATGGCTCTTTTTTAGACGTCTGTATGTAGTTAGTTTGGTAGCTTTGATTAACACAAGTTCGTGCAAGTTAGCAGGAAAGATATGTTCAAGGCATTACATGTGAAACATTCTAAGCTTATTCTATTTATATGAATATCTACAGTAAATCAGTAGTTCATGTATCATAATTATAACTCTTTATGGAGGTTTATGATCAGGGCTTGAAAAGGGCAACAGTATCTTAACACAGCTGCATGGTCAGAGGTATAAGATACAATAGGCCATAAAATGGCATGAATGCTGTGATCACAAGTAGGCATTTATTTATTTATTTATTTATTTATTTATTATCCAGGGCAGACATTTCTGAAAGAAAAGCTTTCCTGATGTAAATGTTTGTGCATGAATTTCATCAAAAGTTTGACCCACTTGTTCCTTTTAAAATACAAAGCTCCTACAGTGCATCTTTTAGTTTTTAATTCTGCTAGCAAGCTTAAGTAAAATACTAAGTCATTTTTGACCAAAATCTCAGACAACCAGACATTTCTATTTCAGAACTTCTTCATAATTAAATTAAGATGCAAAGAGTCTTTCAAAGTGCTTTAATGTGAAACATTCTATTCTTGAGAAGCTTACCAAGTCAGAATTGTTCACAGTGGTGCTGATAGGAACCAGATCTCTGAAGAGTTTAATGACTCTAAAAGATACATCACAGTAAGTTACTTCATAAAATGGTTACTGATATCTTGACCCATGCCCAAGATATTGTTTTAGATGATAAGGCTTTGGCCTAATATGTATTTTCATTCATGGGAGAGTGGTACATGCCGGGTATTGTCAGGTGAAATTGTTGATTTACTACTATATTGCAATATAAGCATCACATATTAAATAAAAAATTGAAGCCATCTGTAGGTTCACTGGTGGATTTGGATAATAAACAAAATGGCTATATTTGTGTTGTACACATTACAACCCCTGATTCCTGTCAGCAAGTTTCTCTATAATGAACCATTTCATATTAAACCACTCTGAATGACTTTTGTTCACATCAATTGTTGAATTATTGAGGACTTTTGAAAAATCTGTGACATTCCCCTTTAAAGCTCAGTCCCATCTTTATAAAGCTGGTTCAACTTTCGATAGAATTCTCAATAGTTTGTTTCTGATCTCCTTGGTTCTCAAACAGTATATGAAAGGATTGACTAAAGAGGGTCCTAGAAGTGACCCAACCATCAGCCCATGTCTCTCCTCCAGTGTTAAAACTACACCAATCCTGGTTAAGACTATTAGCACAAAGGTGGGTGCATAATAGCAGATTATGACTATCAAGTGACTAAAGCAAGTATTGAACACTTTTTTCTTGTCACTCATTGAGGACATTTGGACAACAACTATAAGTATCTTTAGATATGACAAACAGATGAAACCAAATGTTCCAAAAATCGTAAAAAAGGATACAACGGAAAGCACGTTGAAATATGGATTTGGATCTACACACGTTGCCCTGATAACAGCTGCATAGTCACAAAAAACATATTTCAGGGTTGACTGACAAAAAGGGAGAGGAATAACTGTAGCAGGTGCTACAGCCAATAAAGTACAAGCCACTATCCACAGTGTTACTGTTATTAAAAGAGAACGTAAATTTGTCAGAATAGAATGGTAACGCAAAGGGCTGCCAATGGCAATAAAGCGGTCAAATGCCATAACAGAAATGGCAAACATTTCCATCGCAGCACTTAAATGGAAAATAAACATCTGAACCATGCATGGCACATAAGATATAGTTTTATATCCAGCTACAAGGACACCTATCATAGTTGGGCATGCACTTGTACAGTAAAGCATGTCTACAATTGCTAAATTACAGATAAACAGATACATTGGCTGGTGCAAACGTTTATCCATGATAATAAAGTATATGTTTGCAAGGTTAGCAGTCATAACAAGCATATACACTATCAGTAAGACAACACCAACAACCAGAGGTCTCTGCACTGTGTCAAATCCTCCAAGTACAAATTCCTTTATAATCATTCCAGAAACATTTTGAAATGACATGGTTCCTGTAGCCCTGTAGATCTTCAGGAAATAATATGTCTTCAAAATAGCTACTTCTCAGTATTATGCACTCCCAAGATGCTCTGTATTACACAACAATCATTTAACATCTCCACTGTGGTCTTTAAGTTCTTCCAGTATTGAAAGCATTGAAGCTCCTGAAGCCTTCTGTTTTAGATATTTGTGCAAGCTTCATATATGATGGGTAATGACCATTCTAGACTTCCTCATCTGCCAAGCATCTTCAGTGTTCTAAAAGGCTGCAGCCGTTGGGTACATTATATAGTACAGTGATGTACAATGAAGGAGCTCATTGGTTCCTCACGTGTTATGGGTCTTTTAATAGCAATAAGAAAAACTAATCAGGTTTGACCCTGACCTACCTTACAATTCAGCACTGGGAAGACTACACTAACCCCTTACATGGCCAAGTCCCACTGGCAGGCCCAATGTTTTATTACACACTTTTATAACCTAGAAGTAGCTCAACCAGTTTCCACTGGAGTCCCTGTAGTTAATGAATAATAATGTTAAATTACAAAATTAAACATAATAAATTATGATGTTAGAAGCCTGTGATTTTAGGTGGTTAACAAGATTTATCATGATAACTATGTTATATTCTTCTACTTCTAATGCACTCTCAATATATTGAGAGCCACTCATTTTAACATTTAATGCTTCTAATAGCCGCCTCACAAAAAGACACTAAATCATCATGAAAACATCGTCTGATGCCTGAAACATATTTATGATAGTTCTGAGGTAATGTTTTGGCCTAAAAACATATACTTTTAAAACCTATTTTTTGTCAAATAGGTACATGCATGGGTGTTGCAAGGCAAAATAGTCCCTAAGAAAAAAGCCATGTCATCAGATGAATCATCCTTCACTAGTAAGCGCACATTTAACATACACCAAGAGATTAGTACAGGCCTCAATTCTTGAGCCCTACAGTGAGGGGCTTTGATGACTCTCTGGTGCTGTGGGGGGAGACATTTTGCTGGTATTGTTTGGGTCCATTTGTCCACTTAGAATATTTTGACAACAACTAATTATTTTTAAATAGGATAAACAGATGAAATCAAATGTTCCAAAAATCAGACAGGATGAAATGGAATTCCCATTGAAATGACCTTTATTCTATGACAAATCATTTATATCCGGATGAGAGGGCCCGAGGGCTCATTGGCTAGATTGATGAGTATGAAAAGATATGAAGAAATATCCTTTGGAATAATCATGTTCCATCTTTCCCGTATAGTCTGACTCATTGAAACTGCTATGTTAAGAAGCTGTTTCTAGTAGTTAGTGATGGAATAACACCTTCTTAAGATACTTTATGTTGGTTCATATTGTGACATGGGGGTCCTTACAAGAGGCCTGGCCAACTTGAGGTTCTGGTCTATAACTCAGCTTTTCTTGACTTAACTCAGAATATGGTATACAGCTCAGCTCTTACTGTTATCGATGAACATTCGATGATGAATTTATTTTAAACAAGAGTACATTGAGGGAGACCTTCATTTGCAGCTGGCTTTAAACTTTCTCTAGGTTGCTATAACACACAGCCCTGGGACTTCCTAGCCCCAATCTTCAAAACAGAAGTCCAAAAAGAACCTAATGAATAAATGCAGTAGAACAATATATATATATATATATATATATATATATGTATATATATATATATATTATGGCAAGCCAAACAGGAAATATTTAATGAACATTGATATATATGGAATGAACTTTGATATATATACAATGAAAATTGATATATGTAAAATGAACTTTGATATATATGGAATGAACATTGATATATATGGAATGAACTTTGATATATATGGAATGAACATTGATATATATGGAATGAACTTTGATATATATACAATGAACTTTGATATATATACAATGAACACTGATATATATGGAATGAACATTGATATATATGGAATGAACATTGATATATATACAATGAGCTTTGATATATATGGAATGAACATTGATATATATACAATGAGCTTTGATATATATGGAATGAACATTGATATATATGGAATGAACTTTGATATATATGGAATGAACATTGGTATATATGGAATAAACTTTGACATATATACAATGAACATTGGTATAAATGGAATGAACATTGATATATATACAATGAGCTTTGATATATATGGAATGAACATTGATATATATGGAATGAACTTTGATATATATGGAATGAACATTGGTATATATGGAATAAACTTTGACATATATACAATGAACATTGATATATATGGAATGAACTTTGATATATATACAATGAACATTGATATATATGGAATGAACTTTGATATATATACAATGATACATTGATATAATACATTTGATATATATGGAATGAACTTTGATATATATACAATATACAATAAACATTGATATATATGGAATAAACTTTGATATATATACAATGAACATTGATATATATATATACAATGAACATTGATATATATACAATGAACATTGATATATATGGAATGAACATTGATATATACATACAATGAACATTGATATATATGGAATGAACATTGATATATATGGAATGAACTTTGATATATATACAATGAACTTTGATATATATGGAATGAACATTGATATATATACAATGAACTTTGATATATATACAATGAACTTTGATATATATGGAAGGAACTTTGATATATATACAATGAACTTTGATATATATACAATGAACATTGATATATATGGAATGAACTTTGATATATATGGAATGAACGTTGATATATATACAATGAACTTTGATATATATGGAATGAACATTGATATATATGGAATGAACGTTGATATATATACAATGAACTTTGATATATATGGAATGAACATTGATATATATTGAATGAACTTTGATATATATACAATGAACTTTGATATATATGGAATGAACATTGATATATATGGAATGAACTTTGATATATATGGAATGAACATTGATATATATTGAATGAAAATTTATATATATATATATTGAATGAACCTTGATGTACATGGATCGAACATTGAGATGAAAAAATGATATATATAAAATATAATATAATTCATAAAATGTTTTGTTTAGACAGAGAGGGACTTTTGGGGTTGTGTGTGTTGTAGCCTTGCACCCCGCCCCCCACGCTGAGTGGAACATATATCAATGTTCATTCCATATATATCAAAGTTCATTGTATATATATCAAAGTTCATTCCATATATATCAATGTTCATTCCATATATATTAATGTTCATTCCATTTATATCAAAGTTCATTCCATATATATCAAAGTTCATTCCATATATATCAATGTTCATTCCATATATATCAAAGTTCAGTTCCATATATATCAATGTTCGTTCCATATATATCAATGTTCGTTCCATATATATCAAAGTTCATTAAATATTTCCTGTTTGGCTTGCCATAAATATATATATATATATATATATATATATATATATATATATATATATATAAAATAACATAAAATTAGTATGCACAAACATTTATGAACAGGCTAGCCCATTATTTTTAACACCAAACAGAGCACAGGCATGCTCTGATGCCATAATACTTAATTTTGTAACCTATTATGGATGAGGTAACTTGAGTGTCGAAGGCCAAGGTGATGTATCATGTTGGTTTTTCTTTTAATTTGTCACCTGTCAGTAGGTTTATTTGGCCAACTCAGTCAAAAGTTTCATGTTTTTTTTCTATTATTAATGTTACATTTTTATTTATGTAGCATGCTTGTGGAAATGGTTATTATCACATGTCCCCATCTCAGTGATAATCAGTGTGATCACATTATTGAACACGTGTACACAAATACTGACAAGTTGTGTGTATTATTTTAATTTAGGTGAGCATAGTACTACCATTAATTCATACATCACATTTTTAATTAAAGTACTTGTAAACATTTAAACATTGTAAACAATCACTTAACGTGAAATTAATTCTTGTGAAATTATTCTTTTTGCCAAAGAATAATATTTCTGAATGCAGTCCTGCCTCTTTTGAGCAATCATACTTCACCCACGTTTATGGTCATTGGCCCATATTTTTATTCATATTGTTGGTGCCAAAAACTGGCTATAACCAGCCTCTGTGTTGCACTCACCATCATTCCCAGCCTATGATCCTACATATATTTTCTTAAAATTACATTTTTTTATTGATTTTTTTAAGTGAAAGTAAGTTAACACGTCCTCTACGGAGAACACACTTCTGCACATTTTACAGCATAACTACTGTTTATTTGCAGAATTTAACACAATGAAGATAAAGTGTGGCCTGTGTGTTCAAACTTTTGCATATGACTCTATGTATGTGTTTGTGTATATGTGTGTGCGTGTGTTCCTAGGGCTTTGCTTTGTTGCACTCTCTCTGAAGAGAAGGCCATAGCTGTCTGTTTGCGTACTACGGTGGTCTCGAGGGCATCCACTTATAATGACTGATAAACATGTAGCTAATGAAGACTACAGGGAACCACACTAATTAGGAAACTGTTTTTGTTCCTGACGGAGTGGCATTGTCATGTTTTTTAGTTAAATCCCCTGTCTCTTGTCAGCCAGAATCACTGAGTCATACATACATGTCCAGAAGGATTACATGCCACATCTATGGACAAATAGTTTGTCCAATAGCAAAGTTTTGACTGAAACATTTTTGATTTTTGAGTCATCTCCCTATATTATATACAAAAACTATAAGATTGAATTAAAGACATTATTTCATGCTTTATTGCATGTCAAAAAGAGGCAATTGAAATGTGTGGTTCCCATTTATGTTCTACAAACAAGTGGTTATTTCAGCCCCACTACAAAATGCTTAATTTTGTAGTTCTATAGTTTATAGTTCTAGCTCCCATAGCAATATGTCACAAGGGTTTACTATTTAGTGAACATATTTCTAATTCAGAGCATGGGGAATACATCTAATTTCATTTGATTATTAGCTG